GTTCCCAATAAAGCCTTAAACTGCAAAAATTCTTTTTGACTCTAACTCCTATCTTTATCCCGCATCAACGCCTGACACTAACACGTAGTAAACCGCATCTCTGGTAATTTTGTGTCCAGCAAATATGAATAAAGACAGGAGAGGCAATAGGACCCTGACCTATTTTATTGTTTTCTTATCATGCTCAGACCAAACACTGTGCTTCTAATGTGTGCATCATGCTTCAAAAACACTTTTTTGAGGGTCACTCTGACAGAGCAGACAATGGAACCCCTGTTGGCACGTAGACCCAATCTCACGGCTTTGACTGTGTGGCTTTTCTGACAGCAACAGAAAAACCCATATTCTCATTTTCCCCTCTTGTGTATCTGTAGATTTTCTTGCTGATCCCCAAATCATCGACCAGGCCACAGTTTAGCAAACAGTCTGCCTATGTGAGAAAGTGATGGCTGATGGGGTGTCACGTAGCTGCCTTATGGCCCTCAGCAAGTACATGAGGAAAATTGGATGTCCTTTGCCTATTATATTTCTCCAAAGCCTCCCTCTAAGAATCTAGGTTGTAAGATCAAGATAGACAACAAGCTGATGAAAGAATTTTCTTTCCCTGTCATCTTTCATATTTAAGAAGTACTAGAGATACCTAATTTTGTAAAGGCCAGAACTTTCCACAATGATGGAAAATGTCCTATATCTGTGCAATTTAATGTAGTACCCATTGGTCACGTGCAGTTGCCGAGCACCTGAAATGTGGTGAGTGTAAATGAGGAACTGGGTTTTTACATATTATTTTATTTCAATGAACGTGAATTTAGATTCCCATCATCTGTGGCATTTAATAACTCTACTAGAATTATCTATTACTTAGAGGCCAGTGCTATTCAACAGAACTTTCTACAAGGAAGGAAATGTTCCATATCTATATCTGTGCAATTCAGCGTCACATGAACACCTGAACTAGTCACGTGAAATGTGGATAGTGAAAATGAGGAACTGGGTTTTTTAATTTAACTTTATTTCAATCAATTCAACTTAAATGCTGCAGGTGCCTAGTTTTAGTGGCTACGGAGTTAGCACAGAACTACACTCGGACGCTA